GCAGGATAATTTGCGTGCCATATTTAAGTACAAAGCATTATTCTTATAGGTAATATTTACAAATATATTTGTCATTTGTAAGTCAGGCGCAAGGAGTAAACAAATAAGTCTGTAGTTTTCCTTTTTAGATAATAAGATTTTTTGAAAAACTACGAAGCATTTAATAAATGAAAAGCTTTTCCGTTTAAATTTCACACATAGAGTAGAATAACTACAGGTCAAACAAATACTATTCCCAAGTTATGCAAAATAAATAAGTAAAACATATTTTTGAGGACTGAATCAATAATTTATTTATTGCTTATGTGTGTTATTAATAATGGTTTGTAATATCCATTTTCGATAAGTTTATGACCTAATAAAATCTCTGTTGATGGAAACAAAGCAGAGGTTTTTCACAGTAATTGAATAGATCTAAGCAAACTTAAAGTAAGTGATATTAGAATTGTACTTATTTATTTAAAAATTACCTTTTGAATAGAAGAGGTGTCGTATCCTTATTTGAAATATATAGATATTACATACGCATTACTGTTTGCGAGACAATGCAAAAAATAAAAAATAAATACCATAATAACGAAAAGCTGACTTGAATAGAGTAAAATATTATGGACTATATATAAACATTGCGCGCATATTGCACTGCGCGCCGCTGCAACAGAGCGGGGCAAGTTCAAGTGCAGCGCGCAAGGTTGCTTCCTGGTACGCGCGCGCCGATGCGATGCGCGCTGTAATAGCAGATTACATACACCTGCGCCAGCGCCACGGCACGGATCTTTAACTCATTTACGTTGAGCCAATACGACTGCTTGTTGTTGGCAAAAATAGATCATAATATAAAACCATTGATGTACAATACGTCAGTGCATAAACTCTGATATTTACTCCGGAATTTGGCATATGGCAAATCAAAGAAAATGCGACATTTGCGAAATCGTCTTTTCATAATAAAATATTAGATATAAACTGCTTTGTGGGAAAAACAGACATATTGGTTCAAAATTATAGTGCATGAAAAGACAAAACGAGACAATGCAATATAGGTATATATTTTAATAATAACGCAACCCTTTTATTAGGTAGGTACATTAATACCTTAATGCACGCTTACTTTTATTTCGTTTTCAGATATATCACAACAGATTATTTATAACGATTGAAGCGTCTAAAATTAGCAATGCACTTTGCCAGAATATCAACAGAGATATGACTAGAATTCTATATGAGTTTTTATAGCAAACGCATTACATTTACATAACAACCATCAACATAGAAGAGCACACTTTGTTTACATGGTGAAAGACCATAAAAGATGCGATAATATGGTTACATAAATTGGTATTACATCTATGTGTAAATATCGATCAAATCACAAAGTTCGAGTTTTGAGATGCCTACATAACCTGACATAAGGGTAAATACTGAGATATGCAAGTCTCAAGTGCCGTGTGACATTGCGCGCGCGCATTGCGCAACCGCGCCGGCGTGGTCACGTGTGTACCCCCCCCGCCCCCCGCGCCGCAGTCAACTCACGCCCACGCAGTGCACTATGTAAACATACCCTTACGCAACCACCCAATGAACGTGTAGGGACTACCTTTCAGATTCACTAGTTAGGGAAAGTTATTAAGTAGCACTGAAAAGAATTGAAGTCCGCTTTTAATTTTATTTTTTCTTGTCTTAGTACTGTCTAATTATATTTCAATCATAAGATTATTTTAAGTTCATTGATTAAAATTGTAACCCATTCCAATTCAATACAATTCCAAATTACAGCATTCAACACAATGTCAATAGCTAAAAAAAAATTGCAAATGTATTAGACAGTAATAAAGTTTATTTTGATTATGTTCTATTACAAATATTCAGGCGCATTTGTAATATTTTTATTATATATTGATTATTATTATCGGGTTATTATTAATAATATTATAAATAATATTATAGGAAATATCACACAGGAAATCAGGAGCGTCACAACGACCGATTATAAAAACAAATCGACTTATTTATTAAAAGTATAAAAGTTAAATTTTTCAACTCCCTGCCGCATTCTTCAGTATTTTTCAATAAATGAATTAACTTTTGGTAAAAAAAATATTTGTACACTCTCTCGAAAATAGTGAATAAAGTAATATGTTAATTTATAACAGCGATATCATATAGCAAGGATACGATTGCAACACCGAACGTAGAAAACATACGCTGCATTTTGTTTACAATGCGGCACCTAGCTGGGCGGAAAGCTTGGGCAACGATTTGAATGTCAAATGGAGCCGATTTCGATAACAAAACTTTTTCGTTCCCACCGAGAAAAGCTGTCGCCACCGGCCGGTTCGGTCGTCGGCCGCACCACTTCCGCAATTATGCAACGAAATTTCGAACCTGAGTATTACGCAAACAAACTTTTTTTTATGTGAAGAAAATGCATGACGCGCATACAGACAAAACTGAACTTTTTGTTCGGTCAGGTTATTCGAGTCTACAGTTTTGTACTTCGTGACGTAAAAGATTCAATTGATTGTTTTTATTTAAGGCCGGACCAATTACCGCGCCCCTGACCTGTGAGTGGAGTGCAGTTGTGTAAATAACATAAACTTGATGCACCAGTTCCTAACACCTTGATGCTGACCTAAGGACTTACTTGAACTTCGTCGTGTCGTGTTTTATCTATACTATCTATACTAATATTTTAAAGAGGAAAGATTTGTATGTATGTTTGTAACGAATTGTCTCAAAAAGTACTTGACAAATTTTGAAAATTCTTTCACCATTTGAGAGCTACATTATCACTGATTAACATAGGCTATTTTCAAAAAAGTTAGAGTTCCGTATGTAAACTACGATAATGTAACCCGTGTGTAAAAAATACCGAAAAATAGCCTTATATCGCGTACGCTGCTGAAGTCTTTGACAATAGATCAAAGTCATGTACTTAAGTTTTATAGAGGATACTTATTTTACAAAAAAGTCCGCGATACCATATGTCTAACTATTACCGTTATGTCACAACTAGAGGTCCCCTGCGCTGCGTTTTCACCCGCGTTAATTTAAAAAAAAAATAAAATTTAATTTTTAAGAAAAAGGTTAAGAGTGATTTAAACTTAAAATATGGACATAGGCGGTGGTGGACTTTTTACAGAACTTTTAAAGGGGAAGAATACCGCTCCATACATGATTTTTGTGTAACTTTAACCGTTTACCCAGCGCACGCAACAGAATCTCACAAATGGAATATTTTTACCCATTTTTACAAAAAATTTCATCGATGCTCCGCTGCTACTGGTCCTAGCCTGGTAATATATAGCCTATAGCCTTCTTCGATAAATGCACTGTCCAATACAAAAAGAATTTTTCAAATCGGAACAGCAGAGCAATGTTGCATTCGGTACAACGGGTCCTAAACTACGCAACGAATTTTTTACTTGGAATTTAAGGTCTATAATTATTATGAAGAAAGTCATTGTGTATAATACAAGCCTTTGAACAAAAACTATAGTCTACACTACAGCTCTACACCGAAGCAAAGCGAGGGCGGGCCACTAGTTCTTCGCATAAAAAATATGTAAATTGAAGGAAGATAGACGAAGATAATAATCACAGTTAATTTTAAGAATAGGTAGTAGCAATCACTACAGAAGATTGTTATTTCATCAGACGGGTGTTCCAATCCGAGCGGAAAATCTAAAACAATATCAACAAAAATACATAGAATTTTTGATAGCGTCACAAGATCATAACTTTTTAGTATTTAAAAGCAATAGGGCTGGTTAATTTTAACTAATTGACGAATGTTAATCTAATTGATTACACTTATTCGTTTACCTTGATACGAGTGCCTATGGATTTCGGACAAACGACTAAGTGTAAATGAACAGAGTCGAATACGCCCGTATTCGTTTCGCTCCAACTAGAACGCGGGTACAGGGTCGTTTACCCGTTTACTAGTACCAGAAAACAATGTAATAATTACTTCGGGTGTCCGAATTCGAGTAATGTCTTTCGTGCACCCAAATATGTGCTAACGACCAAATGTAATTGCGCCATAAATTATATGAAGAAAACAGGAAATGTTTTTTCGTTTACAGAAAAAACACCGAGGTAGTCTTTTTCTAAAAAAAATCTAACACGAAATATGCGAAAACGGACGAACGATTCCAGTCACGAACTTTTAATAGATGTAGCAATTGATGTTTCTTTAGTCAATATCAGCAATCAGCATGAGAGTTCTATGTTAAGAATGCAGTAATGGTAATAAGTATTCGATATTATTGAGATTAGTTAGGTATTAGATATAGGTTTATAGAAACGTGACCGAGTCCTGTTTCCGTGTTCCACGTGCGCAGTGCCAATTGGCAAACTATCAATACGGTATCAGCAAAAAGAGCTACAACTTTTGAATTAGCGCTTAGAATTTCCCTTATACAATTTTAAGGTACAGCCAGCACTGCATCATCACATACAATTTATTTTTGAACAGCACCTTATTATACCACCCAGAATACCAGCGTTGCTGTGACATGTCACGGTATGTCATTATACTAAGGCAGGGTCATAATTCACAATAACGTTTTTATTTTAATTATTAAGCTTTAAAGGTTTTGTTTTTCTTATTTTTTCTGATATTTTATTGTAACATGCTTGTATTTTTAGTTAATGAAATCGTTTTTACTAAATGAAATCAATCCGAGTGACCCATGCACATAAATAATCAAATGTATTGCGGATACGTCATTGAAATAAAAGATTTTATATGTTTAATGAATTTTAATTTTCTTTATATATCCTAAAAAAATATTGAACTTTTTAATTTTTATTTCGTTATACAAACCCTAATTAAGCTAAATGTTACTATACTCTTCGATTGTAAGTTCGTCGGGTCAGCTAGTAAATATACATATAATTAGCGTCTACAGTCTACACAATATTTTAAAAAAACATAAACACGTACATAATGTTAATACTCGACCACAAAAATAATTGTATTTTCCTCTTTTCAGGTACAAGTTACATTGACGCGGATATTAAAATTATGAAAATTTTGACCTGATAACTTACAACAAGTTTAAAATGAGACTAGTAAGTACCCACAATTTTTTCAGTTAATAACATTGTTTCTGATTCCTTTCTTTCGTAGATTTCTATGTTTTCGCTTGATTAACCAATTTCGTGAATAAATAATATGTCAGTTCGATTGTATTTGCGAAAAATTATAAATAGGCGAAGGGGATGTGTCGGTGCGCAGTTGAAAGTGCGCACTTATCACGAAAGTAGGTCAGTAGTCACACCGCCCCTTTATCGAGCGCCGCTGTCAACCACCACTTAGCTAAAATAAACCCTCACCCCGAGAGCGTAGCTCTCAAAATAGGTTCGGTGTCACTAAAATGCATGCTGGTATAAAAAGGAAAATGAATTTTGTCGCGTGACGATATTTGCTTTTTTTTCTGGAAAGATTGTTTAGTATTTTCGATCTTTTGTTTTTCATGAAACATTAATTATGTAATAAAGTAATTGACTTCATTTAAATTAGAAGATCCAAAAAAAAAGTATGTATAATATAATTGAAAAAAAAAACAGAAACTTTTCTAATAAGTCCCTCATCATCTTGAACAACAAAGTTTGCATTATATAAAATCGGAAGTGAGTGAAACCATATTCTCTATCTTCATAAACGGTCTCTGTATAAAAATAAAATGCTTTCCTTCAGCTGGTCGTGATTTATAGGTATATATAGTGTGATTTACTTATTGTTTCATCTTTATGAATGGCTGTATTTATTCATTTATTAGCATAGCACAATCGCTAACAAAACAAATAGTATTTTACTAGAAAAACATCCACGCGGTCCAGGCAGCAGACGAGATTCGCTATCCGGGCGGAACACTTAGATATCTTTAGATTAAACATCTAATAGTTAAATCCATAAAAAATTAAATATAACGAAAACAAAACGTTCCAACAGTCAACAAGTGAAGAGGTTCCTAGTACGACGGTGGGTCGCACCGGCAGCCCGGGCGGTGCAATAGCGGCGGCGCCGGCGGCGAGCGCGGGCGCATACGATGTGACGCGTATGCGCGAGGAGGAGTTCGAGCGGCTCACCGTGTACATCGTGCCGGATGTGCCGTGCGAGCGCGGCACCCAGAACCGGGCCGAGCGCACCCTGCCTAGGAGCCTCGCGCTAAGGCCCTCGGCCGTGCTATCCACTCCAAACACACCGGTAAGTTACTTTTGCATGAAGGCTGATTTACACTTCAATAAGTACAAATGGCGGGAAGCCGATAGATGCGAGTGACCCAGGACCGAACAATGTGGTGATCCTTGGGGGAGGCCTATGCTCAGCGGAGGGCGTCGTATGACTGATTTGATGATGATGAAGTACAGTAGCAAGTTTAGAAATCGAACAGTTAAGCAATAAGTGTTTAACTGGCAAATCCCTGTCCTAACGATGATAAGAACTTAACTCGCCAAGACCGTAAGTTAATTCGCTACTGTACTAACTGAAGTGTGAAATCAGCTATAATAAACACTAGTAAGTTGAACTTGGGTAATATCACATTATATCGATTTAGATTAGACAAGAATAGGAAACAGGAGTTTCGCATTGATCCAAAACCATTTTTATCTGAACATCATCTACCTCGCTCTACACTCTCGATTTATCCAACTATGTCGAAGAAACTCTTAAATTTAAGTACCTAATTAACAATTTATAGCTTACTTACTGAGATTGTAGAATTTGTCTTAATGAAACTGTTGTATATCGATTATTTTAAGATGTTAAATGTGGAAACGAAATGTATTCAGTTTAGTATTTATAAGAAAAAACAATGTTTACAGACGGAAGGTGTGTGGAGTATAGGTGTTATCCCACGAGGCACCAGGTTCGGGCCCTTTGAAGGCACCCGCACTCCCAACAAACCTAATGACAAAGTATCCTGGAGATATTACTGGAGGGTAAGTTCAAGTCTAGAATATAATTGAATAAAGAAAACACCTCACTTCGCTTTTGTAAAGTATTTATACCTGTTCCTCACTTCATATACCTTGGGTTGAAGGTTTGCATTTGTAAATATTTTCGCATTCTATCAATAGCGTAGCCCAAAAAAACATTCAAACTAACATACATATGCCGTGTGTATGTTGTTCATACTCGTAGACAAGCTATGCACAATATGCACTATTCTTTTTTCTAACTAACCAATTCCTCTCTATTTTGGGCCAGGTACAGGAAACTGTCAGACATCATACATATGGAAATATCAAGGTGAGATTAGGTTTTCTATTCTTTTATTATATGGTTGAGGGCTTGTATCATATATGTTTATACCATATTCATTACCTGCCATGCAATGCATCAATTGCTTTTTTCAAAAAAAAATATTTTTATAATTTAATTAAAAACAAATACAATTAGATCGTGACCTAGAACCGAATGCCGATTGAAAACACTGAATACATTGTACCCATTCACATGTCAGACATAAGAGTTAGACATAACAATTAATGTGGTCACCCTATTGCTCCTGCGTTATCTTCCGGCTTCAAACTGCATAACACTGACATTGCATCTCGGCCTTGACTTCCTTCGAGCGCTATCGGCGCACGCGCATTGTAAATATCCTGCACGTGCCACGTGATGCACAGTACAGTCTCTACGTGTATGCGCGGTGCAGTGATATAACAACGCTAATGACTTTTAATTGCAGCTCTCTAATATAAACCAAAACACGGCCGCGTGAATCCGATCAAATATTAATTTCCACTAGAATTACGTAATATTTAATAAATATTACCTAATTAAACGGTTTCAAATATGAAGTATATATATGTATGATACAATGCAGTTTTGTGTATAAATAAATAATAAATATGTGGTGTAATGGGATGAACAAAACATCAGAATATCAGAAAATAAATAGCACATAAGTTTATAGATATATTTTTTTATAAAATCACCTCTGAACTAATAAACCTTTATCATGTACTGGATCGAAGTCATTATCCGCACATACCAGCGTCGGGATGCCCGCAATAGTTTCCAAACTAGCGTACAATGAATTAGCGGCAGGCACTTTGTATGGGTGTCTCCCCCGTCTTATAGACATAGCAGTAGTGGTGAGTTTGAGAAAAGATCTGTTTTAATTAAAACATAATTATTGGTTGTTACAGATATTCAAAGATAGCGACTATTATTACCTGGACGGCTCTGACACGAGTGTTGCGAACTGGATGCGATACGTCGCCTCCGCCTACTCGCTCTCCGTCATGAACCTCGTCGCCTGCCAGCACCAAGAGCACATATACTTTTACACCATCAGGTACTTGCACTGTCACTAATTTTAAAACACAATAAATATCGCACAAACTTTCCAACACTGATTTAATGAACTGAATTTTTTCCAGGGATATCATGCCGAATGAAGAACTCATGGTGTGGTACTGCAAAGATTTTGCCACTAGACTCGGATACGATATTGATCCTGAACGGGCTACTTATTCCATTTGTAAGTAATTCCTCAGCTACGAATCGATTATTATCGAATATATCCGAATTATTTATAACACTTGCCAGTTAGCTTTTATGAATATTATAAAAAAATTCAAATTTTGTTTTAGGTAAAGAAGAAACAATCAAAAAAGCATATGGATTGCCCCCTGCACCAGTCCATCCAGAGATCGCATTCAACCACATGAAATATGTACTTGGTTTAACAAATGCTAAGGAATTATTAGAAACTGAAATCCCAAGTCGGCGACGAAAAAGGGATGTAAATGAAAAACCACTTAACGAAAATTTTAATTGCCCTCGTGAAGAACCCCGCTGCAAAAATGAGAGGTCAATTATCAGGACTGATATATCAGCCAGTGTCTTACACAATAAGCCGGATAGTCCAATTGTGAGAGAAAGTACACCAATTTCGCCATCTTCGTTAATGCAACCACCGTCGCCAGTTAAAATCCATCATAGAGATAATTCAGCCTTAATCATTCACCAACACAAAGAGAGCACGTCACATATTGTTATACACCAAATGGAAAATTCCAGAATTCATGGCAGTCGATCACCCGCCCAAAATCAGCACATGAGAGACATGCGAGGCCCTTCTCCTATGTCCCAAATGCACCAAGATAAATTAGGAAATAGGTCACCCAGTCTTACCCACTGTGGGCCACCCCATTACGAACCTCAGCTGACTCCAAACGATGGTTCGGTAAGGTCGGATGAAGGCTACCATAGTAATGGCTACCATGACGAATTTACACCACCAGAAGATTCCAGTGATTCAGACGTTGAGAACTATGTATTGGATTGCTCCAACAAAACTAATGAACCTAAGGAGACAGTTATCGTTCAAAAAATAGATCAAGAAATGCATCGCAACGAATATAGAAAAGTAAAAATAAAAATGCCTAGAGCATATCAGTATCAAAATCTCAAGGAAATGGACTCTGAGAGTGAAAAGGAATTAATCATAGCCGAAGAGATCGTTAATACATCGCCTCAAAACTTGTCACCGCCACGTCGTGATCCAGCTACTTCGACAGTGATAGTGTTAGAGCCTTCGCACAATACCGTCATCCCGAACACTAAGCCATATTATGAAGATCGAACTCTTTCTCCGTCTCCTCAACCAGCGTTCATGAGATACTCTCCACCGGACACCAGAATCTTAGAAACAATTTTAACTGGCAATCGTATCGACACAAACAATAACGACCCCAACAGGCGGCAACCAAACGCTACGCCACCACCTTCTTCTCCCACAGAAATGGCTTACTCTTATAAGAAAAGTCAAAGATACGGCAATGCGTGTAGTCCAGATTCAAGTTCCAATTTGACACCGCTTCCGTCCCTTCTACCACTGCCACAACAATTGCCAGCTCCTAGTGCTACGTCTGTCTACTCTTCATCGCCTCCACATTCCATACCACACACGACGGAAATAAGAGAAATTAGAGAAATAAGGGAAATAAGAGAAACGCGATATGAAAGTCACTATCCGAACTATTCATATAATATCTACTCTCCACCGAACTCAACAATAATAACACAATTAGGTTCTCCGCCAAATTCATATTCACCGACCATCACATCGTCACATCAATATGAGAGATCTCAAAATGGACAAAGTCATCATTATCCTTCATCCACTAGTGTTATAACATTGAAAAATTGCTCACAATTAAGTTTAATACAGAATTCTAATGTAAACAGTCAATTAGTACCATCACATGGTAGCATGAGTCCTGATGGTTCTTGTGGTCTCATGGTGGCACCAATAAGTCCCAATTCTCAGGCCTCTCGAGGTTATAGAAGTTTACCTTATCCATTGAAGAAAAAGGATGGAAAAATGCATTACGAATGCAATGTTTGCTGTAAAACATTCGGCCAATTGTCGAACTTGAAAGTGCACCTAAGGACACATTCAGGCGAACGACCATTTAAATGCAACGTGTGCAATAAGTCATTCACACAACTTGCACACCTTCAAAAGCACCACCTAGTACACACGGGAGAAAAACCGCATCAATGTGATATTTGTAAGAAAAGATTTTCTTCTACATCGAATTTAAAGACTCATTTACGGTTACATTCAGGACAAAAGCCTTATGCATGCGATCTTTGCATGCAGAAGTTCACCCAATTTGTCCATTTAAAACTACATAAGAGATTGCACACGAACGACAGACCTTACGTTTGCCAGGGTTGCGATAAGAAGTATATCAGTGCTTCTGGACTTCGCACTCACTGGAAAACCACAAGTTGCAAGCCGAACAACATTGAAGAAGTTCTAGCAATCACCAATGCAGCAAACACCGAGTGCATAGGTAAACTATCAAAACCTTATTTCACATTGAACACTAGATTCCTTTTATCGATAACTTCTAAAATAATATTTTTCTGTTTCACTATTTTATAATGATTAATATCAATTTAAACACGTTTTATTACGAAAACGATCAAACGCGAGCGTAGTCAGAAGAGCAACTGCAGAACGTTGCACTTTCTCTTCGTAGGGGAACCGCAACTTTCACTTGCGCTCTCACTGAACGCGGCCGATTTCATTTTCACGTGCACTTTGCAGGTTCCGTCGACAAAGACTGCCACGACCGAGAGGGGCACGAGGCGTACGAGGTTCACTCTCCTGGGGGGCCGGTGGGCGCCGGTGGGGCGCGAATGGTCATGTCGCACGCCGAGCTGATGGGAGGGCACGCGCACTCGACAACGCCGCACCTAGGCCCCGCGCACGCGCCGCCCTCGCCGCAGTATCGCGCGCCACCCGACCACCACGAGCCGCCTCACTACGCCCCGCAGGCCGCTGAACCTCGCCCCAGCGTCATCGAGTCCAACCAGCCGCTCATCATTGAATGCACCTGAGACGACTCGAACGCGCACCAGTTGCTACTCGGACGCGTGATTCCCCGCCGCACAATGTGATTACATGTGATCAAACAAAAGTATTTGTGTAAAGACAATTGACGAGATTCTAGACTCGTCGTGTCAAGTGGCTATGAAATTACGATATGAACTTTATTTTGTACATTTGTAAAAATGCCTAGTTTTTATGAACGACGTGTTGTTATTAAGTACTAAGTACTTACGTAGATTAGATTGTTGTATTATATTATTTAAGCATTTTCGTAAATATTTGTAAGGATTCAGCAGCCCTTGTTTATATTAATGCTCAATTTTATACATTAAATTAGATTTCTATTGTAAATAGGATCTGTTGTGACATCGAGTATATTTTATTTCAATAGTTTTTACTACGCTGTATAAATAATTACCTTGCAATAGGATGACTACAAGACGGGCAAACAAACCTTGTGTAACATGTAGATTCAGTCTTCATAAAGAGGTAAAAATCTAATGTATCCTTTTAGATATCAAAGCCATTAAACAAAGCTCAATATATCTCAAATTCCACCAAAGAATGGCTTGTTTTACTCCAAAAGCATATTTGATATTGTATCCGTAATTGTATTCTGAACTGAACCGAGCATAATTACTTATTTGGATGTAACACGCAATTAGTTCCGAGTGCCAAAAGTGCACGTTAATATATTTAAGTTATCCTAAAAGTGTTTGAATGAATAGTATTTTAAATCATTGTTCCTAACGAATAATCGGAGAGTAAGCGTATATGTGCGACATCCTAATTCTAATGATATTGTTAGATTAAATTTAAATTGACGAATTGTGTACATTACCCCTACGCTAGAACAAATGGTGCTTCACATCGTAGAATAATAGTCGCCCTAGGCCCCGCGCTGGTCGACTATCTAACTACATGTAATGTTAATTACACCGAGTCTACTAGTTACTATTTTATATTCCAAATTTCAATTAATTATGATTCTCCTATTTGAAAAGGCTGAGATAAATATATGATGTAATGTTTGGCGAATATTATTCGTAAGCAATGGTTTACATGATGTCTAAGTACCCAAGCGGATACTCAATTATTATGAGTCTATGAAGGAATAGCTTATACGTGATGTAAAACCAAACGTTAGCTTTTTGTATACATATTTCTATAGTACGATTAAGGTTTTTACACGCGAGCCCTTGTAGATTTATTACCTGTATATTTTATACCTACATTTTATAAATCAAATGTTTGTATTTGACGAGAGTATTATGAGAATTATTCATTTTAATTTGATTATTTTTTAGGTACGCACAAAATGTGCATATTTCGCCTGCTCATTGTAAACGTTAAAAACGATTCTTACTTAAAGTAAACTTTGAATGAATTGTAATTAGAAGATCAATAGCAAAAGCTAATACACTTCAGATGGAGTGAGGTAATTTGTTGCGCCTTGTATACAAAATAAAAGCTATGCAGACTATTCTCAAAGTTGCATATTGAGTAAGAATTCATAGGTATGCCTTTTAGTACCTTATACATGTATTATGACACCACGTAAATATTCGTTGTCATGAAAATATACTGAAAGATATATATTTTTGAATGTAAAGTACAGGGTTTGAATGGTGTCTGCTGAAACGATGATTTAATAACAGTTCAAATTTAACAACAATTGTACTTCTTATATTTGTATCAGTCTATTGTCATTGGATAAAAATAATCTTTTCATGATTTTGGTCGTGTTTTATAATAGACTAAACATGAATAAAATCAGTCTAAGACACAGTTTTATATTTATTGTTAACATTCAAAATACTTTGCTCTTGATTGAATTAAATATAGTAGGATATATTTTTTTATTATTACTGCAATGATTTAGCAAAAGAACTCCATAACTTCTCGCCATTCCTTATATTATTCAAAATATTTATACTTTACGATCCATCAGAGTAGGTAACTAAATTGACCAGTTAACTTATATGCTAACGTATTATGCTATGTTCAGATGTTCTCTCACAGCAGTTACTTAACTCTATTCAACGTTTTAAAGCATGATATAGCTTATTTTGTTTGCAAACTATTGAGAAACAATTAATGTTATGGAACACCTTAAATGTTATTTATATGCTGTTTGGGCACATCTTACGCAAACACAAAATTTCAAAGCTATATACATTATCATATTACAACATAATTTGCCGATTGTTTAATCATCCCTAGCTAATATAGCGTTCTTGATTAATTTCCCTGTAAATAATCGGATGAGGGGTTTAATCTTTATTCGGTATTCTATAGTACCTAAAGCAGTAATAAAACCATCATGACTATTTATCAAACTTGTATAAAATTAAATGTAACACCTAAGAAAATAATAGATCATACATAATGTAAGTAAATACCTATCTATGGTTCTGAAAAGTAAGCAGTACGATATAATCATATGTATCGGCACATTCAGCTACAATATTAATTATATAAAGGACTCGCATACATTTTCTAATGAGTAATGTTATCTTATTAATGCGCCGGAAACTTACCTACTGTAAAGGCCTGTAATTTTGTACACCATGATCGACGATTGTTTTACAAACACCAAATTAAATAAAACAGGAGTAAAAATGTAATCGTGGTTTTATTGTTTACCCTTATCGTGGTAAGACTAGAAATATTAGCACCCCAAAACTGTTTTATATTTGCTATGGCAATCATGGCATTAGCAAAAGGAAGAAAAATTATATATACTATATTATCTTCAGAATCATAATGATAGACATATAGTGTAGTCATTATTCTGAATACCAGTACTTACCGACAAATTGAGAACATCTCCTATTTAAAATAGTGTTTCGAATTGGAAACCCCGCCCTCTAGCTAGGGCCTGTACGGACCCACTACACACACCGCTTTCGGACACAATCTTGATGGCCGACGCCGACCAAAAGACGGCCGAGTTTGTCGATGATGGCAATACCAAACGCTCTTTGTTGATGCCCGTGCTAGGCCTTTCGCGCTCTCTGCCGGCCGAGCTAGGCCCACAATTTGGATTTGCTCCAAGCTGGTTTTATCCGCGGTCCCACAGCTTTGAACTCAACAGAGTGGTTGTTAGCTCCCCCTCATACATGAGTCAGCCCTAGGTTATCCGCGAAGGAATTCCCCAGCTACGCCGGGACCCTCTCGGGGACTTACTGTCCTCGCCATGATTGTTGTTGTTTTTCCTTCTTCAACAGACGCCTCGGTAGCAAACTTCACACCAGGAGTACCAGTATCCTCCTAGCGCCGCTGGCCAGCAAAGGAGATTGCTCAAATTGGCCCAAATGTACAAAAAAATATTGACATATACGGTAATTCATGGCGTAATTTATACTTTATTTTACAGTCATTACATTTTAACGGACATCTTTGTATAATATATTCATTTGAAAAGGGACATTTAATTTTACCGGTCGGGAAAACATACGAATCATTTTTAATGGCTATGGGTGTAGCAACATTCAGCCAAAGACTGATCGAAGTTGTTTATATAACATCAAAACAAATATATTTTGTAAAGATCGATAAAATAAAACATTTTTTTATTACACTGTGGTATTAATATCCACAACTATATTATCATTTTCACTACTTGCAAATGTGCTAACACAATTATTATAGATGGTAGGCGACATCATAAAGTCATACAATTTTCGCCAAACACCTCACACATATAAACACTTTAAAAGGTGTGATACACTAAAAATCTAAAATATGGTTATAATATAAACATAACAAAAATAATGAAGCCAGAAGCTTCTACTGAAGATATGGCTGTATAACCTAAATCGCTTAGATTTCTTTGGTTAACGAAACTTTAAAAAATCTCTCTAATCTGTGGCTCATTCACAATCATCACACAGTTTCCGTCGCAGAGTACCTTATTATAACCGGAAATGCATAGATGATACCTGATTATAAAAGTTACTCTTGTGCATTAACTTCAAAAACAGGCAACTATCTGTTAATCTACATACTCTATATACTTGAATCTAATGCATAATTTCGGTACTTGGCTTAATTTCCCTAGTTTACAAATAAGTTATTTATTTGTTTTTTATTATTTTAATACCTATTTGCAAACATAACCTCAAAATCTTTTGGGGACCGAGTCGCCCTCGTCCGTGGGTGTAAACCCCGTATTATTTTTTCCTGTTACCTCACACGTGGTCCCTGGTGCCTGATGGGACTCTGGCTCACACTGCTGAAGAGAAAGCAAATCTTTTTGTTTCTCAATTCGCGGAAGCCTCGAGTCTTGATGCTGGTAGCGCGGTACCTCCCACATCATTTGGCTGCTCGACAGCGATGTCGAACATTCGCATTCGCCAAGCAGAGGTGCGTAAAGTCCTACGCAATCTCGACGTGAACAAAGCCAGTGGCCCTGATGGTATTCCTGCAATAGTTCTGAAGACCTGTGCACCTGAATTGTCTCCTGTTCTGACACGCCTCTTCCGGCTCTCTTTGGAAACTGGACAGGTGCCTAAATCCTGGAAGCTTGCTAACGTGCAACCGGTGCCCAAAAAAGGAAGTCATGCCGACCCTGCGAACTACAGACCAATATCTGTCACTTCATTACTCTGTAAGAGCATGGAACGTGTTCTGAACCACAAGATCCTAGCGTACCTAAAAGCGAATGACCTCCTCAGCGATCGACAATTCGGATTTCGCCGAAATCGGTCCACTGGGGATCTTTTAGTGTACACTACTCACATTTGGAGTGAAGCCATTGAGAAGCACGGAGAAGCGCTGGCCGTGTCTCTCGATATCTCGAAGGCTTTCGACATGGTTTGGCATGACGGCCTTATAAGCAAACTTCCTTCGTACGGCTTGCCCACTGCACTATGCGCCTGGATATCTGACTTCCTGCGTGATCGGTCTATAACAGTAGTTATAGATGGCTGCCAATCACATCGTAAGGCTGTTAATGCCGGAGTTCCGCAGGGGTCTGTACTCTCTGGAACTCTTTTTTTGCTCCAGATCAACGATCTGCTTAAACCCGGTACCTTTGGGTATGCAGACGATAGCACAGTCGTAGAGAGCTATATATCAAATGCGCGTGCCAGTGCGGCCGAAGTTCAATCACTCCGAGAAGCCATGGTCAACCGCTTAAACTTGTCCCTTCAGGCAGTCTCCGATTGGGGCGATGCCAATCTGGTCAAGTTTAATGCTTCTAAGACTCAGGCGTGTCTGTTCTCCGCTAAAAAGAGGGCGTTTCAACTGGCCCCTTCTTTCCGAGGTGTAACCGTGCCGGTAACCGAACAGCTCGAGCTTCTAGGAATAACTCTCACCTCAACTCTCAACTTCGATACCTACATTGAGTCCAGAGCTCAACTGGCTGCAAAAAAGCTTGGCGTCCTGGCAAGCGTGCGGCAGTACTTTACTCCGGAACAGCTGCTCACCTTGTACCAAGCACAAGTTCGCTCGTGCATGGAGTACTGTTCGCACCTTTGGGACGGTTCTGCAAAATATCAGCTAGAGTCTCTGGAGTGCATTGAGAGGCGTACAAAGAAGCTCATCGGTGACGACAAATTATTCGAGACTAGACTCCAAAGTCTTGAACACAGGTGAAAAGTTGCCTCATTATCGGTTTTTTACCGGTTACATTTCGGAGAGTGTGCTTTGGAGTTACATAACTTAATTCCACCTTCACCTTTTTACCACAGAACCACCAGAGAGACGGCAAAACGCCACAGATATACCGTAGAGGTCCCACAAACTCGTACTAAACGGTTTGCTTCCACCTATATAGTCAAGACAGCTAGGTTGTGGAACTCTTTGCCGGAATCTCTGTTTCCAGTCACCTATAATCTTGGGCTCTTCAAGTCGCGAGTGAATCGGTTTCTTCTAGGCAAGCGCGTCCCACCTTAAGCTGCTACGTCGCTCTTCATCAGTCGCGTGGCCGTCAAGCGTAAGCCTATTTATTGTAAAAAAAAAATCATTCAGTGTTTATGGTTTATAGAAGTTCTCAGGGGTGTCCGTCAATAATATTCTTTTCTACAGTAATTTATATATAATTTCGAATCTAGGAAACAATTTTTCATGATTATTGGTCTTTAGGCCAATACATCCTGAGCAATCTCCTTTCACACCCTAAGTAGAATCTTCCCCAGCTCGCCGGGGCCATGTCGCAGCTCTCGGCCCGCAACACCGCACCGGCAGGACGATCCGAGTGGTGGGAAGGTACGGGACGGAATCGACGAGAGGGGTCGAGTGCGGCGTTCCACAGGGTTCAGTTTTGGGACCCCTTTTATGGAACCTCGCATACGACGCGGTCCTTCGCACCAGCCTTCCTCGCGACGTGAGTGCCGTCTGTTACGCCGACGGCACTCTCGTCGTGTCGACGAGGGCCGACTTCGGGCAAACGCTCAGGCTTGCCAAGCTGGGAGCTGGAGGTGGCATATTTCGTGAGGGCAATCCGCCAGCTGGGTCTAGAAATAGCGCCTCACAAGACTGAGGCGCTATGGTTCCACGCATTTCCAAGGCGACGGGAACCACCCAGCTGCCGGATACGGGTAGGTGATGCAAAGGTTCAGGTGGGGCCAAGTACCTTGGCCTCACCTTAGGTAGCAGTTGGAGCTTCGAAGAGCATTTCGTGCGGTTAGTCCCCCAAGTCAAAAGGGTAGCGGGTGCCTTACACCGCCTGCTGCCCAACCTCGGCGGACCGAGGGACGGCGTTCGCCGCCTGTATGCGGGCGTCGTACGGTCCGTGGGCTTATATGGGGCCCCCGTGTGGTCGCGAGACTGCACGAGGTCCTCCCGCTGCAGAGCTCTTCTCCGGAGCATGCAGCGGATAATGGCTATACGGATCGTGCGGGGCTACCGCACAATCTCGTACGAGGTGGCGACGGTTCTGGGGCGCTCCTCCCCTTTCGAAATCCTGGCCACTATGTATGCGGTGATATATAACGCGCCGCAACATGTCGGCCGGGGGGTAGACGGGGGGAGCTCCCCAGAACCCGCGCATGGAATGCACAGGCGGGAGTTGCACCGACGGGCTGAGAGGGATTGGCGCGCACAGCTAGAGTTGGGAGGCTGCCCGCGTCAACGCGCCGTCGGTGCTATACTCCCGCGCTTCCAAGCTTGGCTCCACGGGAAGGAGGAAGTCACCTACCGCTTGTCTCAGGTACTCACCGGACATGGTTGTTTCGGTGAGTATCTGAGTCGATAGAGAGGGAGGACACGGCACGATGTCACCATTGCGCATCCGAACTCGACTCAGCCCAGCATACGCTGGTGGATCGCTTGCCGCTTGGGACTCTGAACGTCGAGTCTTGGTCGGAGAAACCGGGCAAGATCTGTCTCCGCTCGAAGGAGGCGGCGTCGGGCCAGATAATGCGACCTGGGAGGGACGACACCCCCGCATGGCCGGGAGGTGTCCTCGTAGGAGGGTGGACGGGGGAGGTTGCGAACACTCCCCCGAGAAGGGCTCCCCTGGTGGAAGCAGGGGAGCAAAGGCTGCGGGTCCTCAGATGCGATACTCGATCCTGAGGCCCCGTACAATTCCTGATAGTGGCCATCGCTGGGATTTTAGTGGGTAGGCCTCCCCCTTCTGGGGAGGAGAGCCCCACATAACCACCATGTGGTATGCAATTTCATGCATTTACGATAGTCCCTCTTTCGGGCGAGGTACCCTACCTGCCCTACGTCAATGGTTTTTTGAAGAGGTTTTCTCCTGCAGCTTCCTCCCCGAAGGGCGACGGCCTCTGCCCGCACCAAGTGCTGGGTTACGGGTCTGCCTGAAGTGACGCGAGATTCGCATCACAATGGGCGTGGTCGCCCCCAACCACAAGTGTGTTGACTGCCGCTGCTCGGGCCCCAGGACGCCAGCCGAGACCCACCAGGGTAATCAGACTTGATGCCGCCATTTTATTCGGCTCTGAGACAGCGTTATAAACTAATCTATGAATCACACATTTGATTTTTCCAGCTAAATTCAATTAAAATGTGAACAAATAATTCAATTTTGTTTTACTTTACCTGATAATCAGTTCCAGCATTTCCAAAGGCATAACGGGAAGTCTCCCCTTGTACGATCGTTTTCGTAGACGGTAACTATATACGTTTTGGTGATAATAAACGCAAAAGCTCTTCAAAAGCTCATTTTTTTATATAATCAAAACAAATATCTTCCTCTGTTGTTAAACCATATAGTTCGATTTAAATAGTTCACATCAGCGTTCATAATCATAATAAATGGATGAACCCAAAATCTTCTTTTTCTTCTATATATCTATTATAACTAACTAAAACACGTCCAATACGGCTGACTACCGTTGAAGGTATGGTCACCGTAACAAAAGCTTTGCCGCACGAAATCGTATCGCAGCAATACGCAGTTTTGCATGGAAGCCCTAAATTTCGTTTACTGCGTCATGACTTGTGCTAATTTACGTTATCTATATATCTCCATAGTGCAAGCTATACTTAGTCTGAGGCCAGACCTCGAGGAAAAGTATAAATATTAAAAAAATCCTAAAGCAAAACCTAATATCTGCATACTTATGTCTGGAAAGCGAAAGGCGCTAGTGCGAATCAAACCTAAGCCAAGGGGAATTTTTCCTAGTAACGTTTTCTTTAGAATCTAGCAGTTTCAACCTTGCAACGTTGTATTTTTAAAGAGAAAATAGTTTCCACTTTTGTGAATTGTGTTTGTCTATTTTGTGTTTCAAGAACTTTTGGATATCAAGGAAAATTAAAATTTGGTGAAGTTAAAGCAATACATTTATTAAAAAACATCAACAAGCGTATATTTGTCCGTCTACATATGACACATATCACATAAAATGAAGTACATAAGACGGAAAACTTATGTTAAGTAACTTCGGTCTACGATAATCAAGAGATAAAACTAAAACTAAAGGACGAGCTCTATCAAAATACTGATATTGAAAGATTATTTTCATTTAAGTTATAGCAGATAAAAAGAAATATGTGATTTGAGTATAAATTTCTCTCCCATTGTTACACTTCGGAGGATACAGCAGACAGCATAAATGCATTGATTAAGCGTAAGATGAGACAAGGTCATTCCATTGCCCACACTGTGCTATCGATTAATTTTTTGCTATCTGTACTATAATCCTCATTCTCCCAGACAAATATCAAACATTTTTCATAAAGATCCAAAAAGTTACTCCGTTTGCAATACATACATACCAGGGTACTCAGAAAGTTTTGCGACTAACAACGTATGGCTGGTTTTTATGTCAAATAAAACTATGCCTATTTCTTACAAAAAACAACATTCCAAATTTACTTCTACGTTTTTTATAATCTATACTAAAATATTCTGTTTCTCTTTAAAAAAGGTTTTCATTCTACCAAGACAGCGCGCTGCGCCGGCTCACTCAAAGGCCAAAACAAAGGACTTTCTCGACAGCATACCGGTCAAACTTATGCAGGGTTAATTTTAAAACACCAACAACCTCTTAGGGGTGAATCAACCCATCAACAGGAACAACTTTTGGACCAACTCTGAAATCGCGAAAAAAAAACTGCTGTTTCATACAAAAGTGCATCAGCTAATCGACCGAAATGTATGAAACAGTTGTTTTTTTTTTCGCGATTTCAGCGTTGGTCCCATAATAACCAAACATATCAATCTGAGTTTAGAGATAATAATTTTGGTGTTCCGCAAGGAAGTGTATTAGGACCTCTCTTTTACTTGGTCTATACTAACAAGTTGTCAGACGTGACCGAACATCGTTGTATTCTTTTTGCTTATGATATATCAGTGGTAATAACAACGGATAATAAAATGGCATTAAAAGACCATAAAAATGATATAGAAAATACAATTAGATCAATTGCAAATTGGCTTCAGCAGAATAATCTGACTGTAAACATAAAAAAAACTTGTTTCATGAATTTTAATAGTTCCATTGGTAAATCATTGAATATTAACTACAAAGGGCAAACACTAAAAAACCCGAACACAACCAAGTTCCTCGGCATAGAAATTGACCAAAAGTTGGACTGGAAAACACATATAGAATCTATATGCAATAAAATTAACCGTTATATATTTGCACTTCATAAATTGACGAAAATAGCTACAAGAAATACTACTGCTCTTACAGCATACTTTGCATATGTCGAATTAGTTCTGAGATATGGATTAATTCTATGGGGAAATAGTATAGAAGCCAATAAATAGTGCAAAAAAATGTGTAAGACCTATATGTAGAACTACACCTGACGAACCGTGCGGGCCGCTGTTAAAACACTTAAAAATCTTACCATTGCCTTGTCTTTACATTTTTGATGTTGCCGAATTTGTAAATCAAAATATGCATCATTTTAAACAAGCTGAAGATGTGTACCCTCGAAATACACGCAATGGCAATAGACTAGTCTCTGTAATAATTCCAAAGAGCATGCGGTTTAAAAATAATTGTTATTGGATGTGTATACAGATTTATAATAAGGAACCAACAAACATAAAGCAATTGCATTTTATAAAATTTAAGACTGCTTTGTTTAAATGGCTACACGATAAGATGTTTTATAGTGTAAAAGAATTATTTGAGTGACAGTGAATAACTAGCGACATTTTAATGACATATAATTATAGTAGGTTCTTCTCAAGAAGCTTATATACAATATTAGCTTCTTGGTTCTTCTCTTTACCTAATGGTGCTTTATAATTAACATTGTAATCTTTGACATTATTAATTTGACTTTTGAATTTTTTTACAATATATTTAATTTTGAATGATGTTTTATAAAATGACGTGGACACTTTTTGTAATTTCACTGACTTATTATTTATTTGATGAATTTAAATTTATTATTATTGATATTGAAAAATGATTTCACAATGTAAATTAATATGTATTACGTTTAGTAATGTAGTATAAAATATTTGCATGCTATTAAAGATGGCTGAATGGGCCGAACTTCAAAATTTGTAAGATCCCCAGTGTACGCTATTCAAATGCAAATAATGAAATTCCAATTCTAATAAAAGTTGTTCCTGCTGATGGGTAGAATCACCCCCTAAGAAGTTGTTGGTGTTTTAATATTAACCCTGTATATCATCCTCCTTACAGTCCAGATTTTGCTCCCCACTCTATTTTGTTCTAAATAAAGAATCAAATCAAAAGGACAGTTTTCATGACCCGGAAGGTGAGCTGGCTGCATTTGAAAAAGGTGTTTGATGCAGACTAGAAAATGTGTTATGAAAATTAGTTTAGACGTGTGAAACTGTGTATAGACGTCAATAACTCTTTCAGAAGATAGAATAAAAGAAATATACCCTGTAGTGTATTTTTCAATAGTATCGCAAAACTTTATGGGTGCCCGTCGTATATTTAATTTAAATAGATGAAGCGTTTTCTTCAGACGGTATAGCGGTACATTTCTTCAGATGAGTCCTCATATTGGAGGACTGTGTGAAGGCCAGTTTGCATCGAGGACACGAGTAAGGCTTAGCGCCCGTGTGGAAGTTGAGGTGAGACTTGAGGTGGTGCTTCTTTGTGAAAGACTTCGGACACAGCGTACACGAGAACGGTTTCACACCTGCAATTGAAATAATACACGTTATTTATAACAGACTCTTATTTTTTACTATGGAAAACCCAATTAAACAGACATTTGTGTTTGTTTTATAAAAGAAGTATAGTAAGAATACTTTTTATAAAACAACCGAAACTGTCTGTATGTCTGTGACGATCTCAAACTCTACTAAACCGATTTTTGTGCTATTTTCATCATCAGTTATAAATAATAAATATTTACAACACTCACACCAATTAGCCTAGCCCCAAAGTAAGCACTGTAAGGCTTGTGTTATGGGATACTAGGGTAACGGATGGAATACATATATTGTACATATATAAGTATATTTACATATAAAATACATATTAAACATCCATGACTGGAGTGCAAATGCTGGTATTCATCACACAAACATCTGCCCCCACCGGGATTGAAACCCGGGACCTCTCGAGTAGGCGACACCATGAAACCCGTCGTATAAACCACTCGGCCACAGAGGTCGTCAAATTTAGTTACATAATTTTTCAAGGAAATAAAAAAATAAGAATCTCGAGAAGGTAGTATTTCTTTTTAGTAAGTAAAATGGTGTACTTATATTATGATGATAAATCAAATAAGTATAATCGAACAGTCACACTTAGGTATTCTATTGGTTTTGGCAAGAAAATGATATACATTTTAATCCAACTGTTAATTTAAGTTTTTGAGTGCGGCTGTAATAATAAAGTGTAGTTAAGAAAAAATAAATTTTCTTAATTTGATTGTAAAGCAACCGACTGTTCTATATTAGTATCGATTCTGGTAAGATTCTCTAAATTTAACACCAATCTCTCCTTTTCATTCTACATAGAGAATGACAACGATATACTATTGTCAAATTTAAGTTTAGGTTTAGAGAATCATGTCAGAATCGACACCAATATCAATCTAAATCGAATTGTATTGTTAACACTTAATTTATGCTTGTTTCCAAAATATAACAATTATCATACATACATATCAGGATAATAAATATTATTTTAAATTAATTTCCTCGGAAAACAAGTAAACTAATATCCTCACAGGCGCTCCTATCCACAAAATCGCTTATAATGAAAATCGGAGTAGATTTTCATTGACATGTGCAGGCAGCTCCTTCATCACACATTTTGTTTTTCTAAATGTTTTTAAAGACGAGTTCAAGTCTAGTCGAGGAGCTCGATATTATAACATTAACATTATAATTTTATTTATATTTTAAATTTTTTAAGCATGTAACTGCTCCCGTCCCGTCTGCTGCCTGGTCCGCGTGGAAATTTTTCTAGTAATTTTATCTTTAGATTTAAACATTAACATTACTTTTAAGTATCTACTAACCAGTGTGTAGTCGTAGATGCAGTGTCATATTGGATCTGTCGGCGAAGCGCTTGTCGCAGTGAGGGCAGGCATATGGCCTCTCACCGGAATGGGTGCGCTGGTGCTGCTTCAAGAGCATTTTCCGAGAAAACGCCTTTCCACACTCATCGCACACATGAGGTTTCACACCTAAAATTGGTTATAAATACATCGATGAAGTCATAATATTCTTTAAATATATTTGTATTGTATTTATGTGGCTGTGTGTGAGTGTGTGATGTGATATTGATGTTTTTTTATGTGCCTTCGGCTGCCTGAATTCTTTAGGTTCATAACTGATCTCGATAGATAGCGCTGCAGTTATGATCCCCTGGATTTGGACGACGGGTACCGGTTTTTATGTATTACATACTAAGCTTCGAGTTATACGAATATAGCTTTCGAGGCGCGACAACTACTTCCTAGTAGTTACCATCAGTATTACTTCAATAAGTACAAACTAAGAAGGTACGGCAAGGCCTTTACTCTCTCAAATCAATATGATTGATATAGTTGAAACACCAATTACTAGATTATGAGAGAATCGATTAAAGTACAATTAGTACTTTAATCGATCCAGGAGTTATAATTTAACTACTCCAAATAACCACCAGTATCGTCCTGCCATGTATTTTAACGTTCTTACCTGTGTGTATTCTGACGTGCATATTGTAAGCGACACGTTGGTTGAAAGACTTCGGGCAGAGTGAGCACTTGTACTCTTTTCTATTCCTAAAACAAAACAAATTTTAAAGGAGATTAGGGAGGTTCATCGTGCAGTGGTTACTTCAGTGAGAATGTGGAATTTTTAAGCAACATCTTCTAATGGCATACATACAAAACTATTTTGTAATGTTGTATCCCAAAACCTGCATGTTAGAGCTCCACAGAGGAGAGAATGAAGTATACTTCATTCCATATATATATGGAAGGTGCACTCACACGTCATCGTAAGCGTCTATGACTGCTTATCATTATTTTTATTTTATTAATTTGATCTTTTGGGGTTTTAAATACATTCGTATATTGCCGTTCTTTTGTTTCAAATTAAAATATCAAGCGGGGCACGGATCGGGCGTACGCTGGGCGAGCAGTTTTTATTTCATTTCATAGACACCCACGGCGCGCGAGACCCGCCTCACGCAGCGCTGCTCTATTAAATAACATGAAACAAACACGACGAGCGAACGCCGCTCCGTGCCCCGCGTAACGCAGCGCACGCTCTTAGGACTTTAAACTTTAACTTTAGGTTTACATATTTTTGGGAATTGTTAGCACTAAGAAGATAGAGAACGCTAATGAACCTGTGAATCTTCATGTGGCTGCTGAAAAAGGTCTTGCCGCACTCAGTGCACGATTGCGCGACGTTATCGTTTACCACCTCATATGGACACTAACAAACGTATGAATGCTGAGCTATACCCTGTCGTTGAAGTACTTCCCACAGACAGAGCAGGCGGCCGCGAACTCCCTGGCACCGCGGTGAACGGACACATGGTATTTGAAGTTGCGCAGCTGGGAAAAGGTCTTGTCGCACTCAGTGCACCAGTAGCGCGGCGTTATCGTTTACCACCTCATATGGACACTAACAAACCTATGAATCTTCATATGGCTGCTGAGGTAGCCTCTGTCGTTGAAGTATTTCCCGCAGACAGTGCAGGTGGCTGCGAACTCCCTTGTGCCGCGGTGGACGGACACGTGGTACTTGAAGTTGCGTAGCTGGGAGAAGGTTTTGCCGCATTCGCTGCACGAGTAGCGCGGTGGCGTGGTGTGCCTCTTTGTGTGGACAGCCAAGCTTTCTTCGTTAACGAATACCTTGTAAAACGAAACAATGTAACTTTCAAACAGTGGTTCTCATGTTTGGATATAGTCCAATTTGATAATCGATTTTAATATAACATTTTCTTTTAATTTAACACGTTTAGAAAAAGGTTGTCTTTTTTATTTTATTTGCTGAGTGAACCAAAGGTTTCACAAACAAGAAAACAAAAAGATTATTAACAAAAAATAACCAATGAAAGGTTCACACTATTATAAACTTACCAACATAACAAATCATTAAGCTCACAGAGTAACTAAATAACTAATAGGTACTCTGACGAATTAAAAAAACTATTTTACATATTAAAATAAAAATCGCCCAACTTAAGCCTAACAGATTCGCAGCTACCATTAAATATATCTAAATCTAAAGTCACGGACATTCTATTCAAATAAATACAATAGTCCGGGAGCCGACAATCCTGAAACTTTTACCCCTTATCACACCATTCAAATAGGTATGCGTGACTTTTCCGGCTAATAAACATTGGTCGGCCGGATTTTTTCTTGTTGAACATAATATTTCACACAAAATTCTATATAAGATTGATCAAAATCCGTTATGACGGAAAAAAATATGGAAATTTAATAATGAATAATTTAATTAAAATATTTACGGCCAATCAAATCCACGCAAACCAAGCAAATCTTGTTCGTCTAAACGTTAACTTTTATTTTTTATTAAAAATATTAGAATCCGTGATCACGGAGCTTTCAGGATTGGTGCCTCCTCGCCTACAATGAGAAAGCGCCGAACAAGCGTCGCGCTAGTAATGAAATGTGACTTACATTAAAAATATAGTACAACTCTTATGAGCTACCTAAATAGTAATTAGCAATTTTAAGAAATTTGTTAATTCTTAGGTGATGGTTTGTATCTTTTATTCGCAATAATTGATTTTTGTGTGACTAGGCTGAACCTTAACGGGGTTTTTTTTAGTCCTGCGCCGTTAGAGTTCCGTATAAAGCCATAATAGAATATGCATAACTTTATTGATAATGACGTAAAAAATATAATGCATTATATATTTACGCATTAATAAGTGGTAAAAGTGTATGTATTACATAAATAGCTAAACAAAACTTCTACCTAATATATTCATTTGGACATGTCGTATCTGTTGTCAGTTTATGTTACATAGCGAGAAATTCGTTATGTATTATGTATTAAAATCACATAATCTACATAATTCTGTAAGACATCCAAGAGCACTAATAAGTTGCAAATTGTTTAAACGTATGCTTTCGGAATGTTCAAAATAAGCTACAAAATCTTTATAAATATATTATGTCATGTTTAGCAGAACGCCTCTCAGATAAAAGTACATTACAAGCAAATCTATTTTATTATAGGTTTCAGCATGTATCTGAAAATATTGTTTCAAAGAAAAAGAAATAATTTTTCAATTAGGCACACCTTATTTTGAGGAGGTGGTGTAAATATGCCTACAAAGTCGTCATCGAATCCTCATCCCTTACGGATCAAACATAATGCTTGTAAGAGGTATAGTATATGTTATCGGCAATCTGTATAATTTAGGCATATATATTTTTTAAACATTCGTATTCACTATGTAAATTTTATTTATATATTATCATTCTATTATCTTATGTAGAATCAACAACTATTGGAACGAAAAATACATTTACATAGAGTTGTATGAATGCAGATGCTAGTTCGTCTAAAATTACGCTCAATGAAAGCACTATAAAAGCAGTAAGGCTTTTGAATTGAGTATGCTAACGGGTAAGTAAACATAACTTCAAGAAGCATTGCGCAAGTATAATGTGACACCTTCGCCTTTCTTTAACTATTCAAATTAGTTTGGATAGTGAAGAACTCGATAGCGTGCGGATTCGAGTCCCGTCTGCTGCCTGGTTCGCGTTGATTTTTTTCTAGTAAACTTTTATTTAGATTTAAACATCTAGCAGTTCATTGCTTAAAAAATAAAAAACATAATACAACTGTTTTATAAACAAAATACTGATTAACTTCGGAGAGTTTAAAAAAACTCATTCACAGTTCGTTCAGCTTATTCCATGCATAGTTAGGGAAGGTCTGTGTCGCAGTAGTAGGGAGATTAACAAGCTGATGATGATAATACAAAATGAAGACCGAAGACACTACTTCTAGCCGTATCATTTCTCTTCTATTACTTATAAAAAAAAATAAAAGATTAGGTTGGAACATACCTGGTTACACATTGCGCATCTGTGTTCCAACTTATTTGGAAGGCTTTCATTGACGCATCCAGTTAAAATTTTCGTCATCTGCTCTACATTATTATTATTTTTGTCATTTTCAACCGCAACATTATCCTAGAAAGGTAGAAAATTGTTTTCAATCATTATGCACAATGGGCAAAGTTGCACTAAACCTTTTAGTCTAGCCATATTATTAAAGCTTTTACAGCTTGTTTCATTAAAGCTTGAAAACCTTGCGACCTCTAGCAGTTGAACGTTAGTTATGAAGTGTACTTTGACTATAATAATAATGGACTAACGATAAAAATTGAATCTCAGATGATTCGACGAAGTGCGTAACAGATACTACAGCTTCAATTAATTTCTTGCTTGTTCAAAAATTTAAACATCAAACAGACAGAAACTTAATGTAAAAGGCAATCAAAAATATTAAGCATCACATACCTTTTTAGTTGGCGCAGTTACAGTTACATGTTTGCCTTTTCTTCTGAACGGTTTGTAATTATTAGGCAACCGTGGTCGCCAAGGGCTATCTATCACTTGATTAAAAATTGGTACTTTGGAGAAATTGTTACTCTTCCCTTGTATGTCATTTTTCATATAATTGCTATTTACATTAGTTTGGGTTAAACTTATAGCTTCTAAAAAGTTATTTGAATTTGCCACCACGGATCCTACAAACGACTGTGTAAGGCTAAGATCCAAAGATGACATAGGATTCCTCTCTTGCATTTCTCGTAAAAGTTGCGTATTTGAATGGGACCTTTCATACTTTATCAAGTGTTTGCTGTTCCTGATATTCCAATCATAATTATAACTACTACCCATGAATAATTTACATTTAGATAAACCTAAAGTAGTCCACTGGGCAGCATCAAAAAAGTTCTTAGTGGTAATGTCATTGTACGCTTGGTCAAAACCTTTCACGTAGCTTTGTTTGCGAAACATATTAGGTAAAAAATCGCTTTCGGTTTGTTCACTGCTCGATTCCGAGATTCTGTCTGCAGCTCTGGTGGGAAGTTTGCCATTTGCATTCTTCAAGAGCACAGATGTCGGTGTACGATAACGTTCATTTGATATTGCTAGCACGCCTCCCGTTACACCGTTAACATTACCGTTTTGAGGATACGTCTCGATATATAAATCACGTAGAAAAGAGTTCCTTTGTCGGTCCAAATATGGCATGGTAGGATGCAGATCACTGCGGCTGCGACATGTATCTTTATTATCATCCTGATCTATTCTATTTTGTATAAACTGAAATTTATTTTGAATTCTCTCGCTTTCTATATTCGCATTTTCGTGATCGTTACTGTTATCCAAACTCAGTTCGTCAGTCAATAATGTGCTTTTAGGATATGTGAGTAGATCTAAGCATCCATCATCGACATTATATCGTAATTTCTGTAAGTACTGGTGATCAATGAAAATTTCTAAGGTTTTAACTATATCCAGGAACGTAATTAATTTGCGATTATCTATGAGAACTTCTCCATTGTACACATAATAAAGAACTGAAGACATCGCTTCGAGATCGAAATCTGGCAAGACTATAAATACAGGTGTATCTTCTTGTGATGGACATGAAAGTAGAACTCGCTGAAACATAAGGGTTTAAAACAGTTATACGTATTTGAATCATACAGTAGTTAAAAATGTTTGGCATTAAAATATATCTACGTCAAACCCGTTATGGGTCGCCTATGACCGGCAAAGAGTAATCAAAGAAGCTCTGATGTTTTAATCAATAAGTAGGTAATTAAATTTTAATTAACAAGTTTGTTTGATAACTTGATTGATATTCACCCTGAGGAAGACGCTTACGCTGGCCAAGACGGCGCGGTGCGCGTTAAAGGTTCTGCCATCACATACGAGCTTCACGTCGCACCATTCGCCACTCGATAACCATTCGCACATCTGTGAACAGAATCAATTTTGTATTAATGCCACCTTATCAAACAACATTTCCTTATACAAGTTATGACAAATAAGAACTTTCTATATGAGTAATAGTAGATGAAGTTCCAAGTGGATAAAGTAGTGTATGATGTCACGGGCAGCATATTATTAAATTTTGAGCGAAATGAGGGATTTAAATAATTACAGTTACTGCATAGCGCAATAGTTACCGCGTTCGATCTGTATAGGAGGATGTTCGCAATTGCCGTGAATAGAACAGGTGTCAACTGACCAAAAATGTATTTAATCTAACACGAGAAGGAAACTCGAGGGCGACTGCATCTGAAGTCATTAGCAACCAGTACAAAGCACAATCGTTCCGCATGTTTTTTCATGGGCCGTTCTCCTTGCTTCATCTACAGGGTGAACCCGGGCAGCAGTGAGGACATTGATAGGATGATAATAATGAAGTAGAGAAATTTAGCACGTGCACCCGTGGGTTTAGGTTCTAACTCGAACGTGGGCAAACACGCCATGTTAGTGACACACTTTTATAATTTTTCGACTCCGTACAAGATGCTACACCACAGTACATTACTCGTTTCGTTACCCCTCCTGTAAACTAAGGCTGTGGCAATATAGAAGCTACCGATATATTTAATAAACATATTTCCTTATAGTTTTTTTCTGACTACAGCCATGATAGTGGGTGGTAACACTTGATCTCTCTCATATAAATACTTACATAACTGCTGCGTCGAATGCTCTACTAGAGGGACTTTGACAGTTCAAAATCGTTTATGCAAATTAACTTATTGTGTCAATAAGTGATTATAAGCTTTACGTAAAATAAATTGTATCTCTTACTGTTATAATAATGTAGAATTAAGTAATCTTTTACTGAAAATATAATTTTCTTATGATTTAATTATTAATTAATAAACAAGTTAAAATATTTTCAAATACTACCTACCTACTCATTATCTTCATAAATAAAATAGGATCTTGCACGGTTCCCGTATCTCTTTGTTGTACCGACTAATTTTGACTTACATTATAAAATTACAGCTACGATGATAAAAGCTAACAATAAAGCTGGTCGTTTTCTATCTACTACTACCGTGGATGTGCCTGTCAGTGTCACCCGAATGCTCATGCCAGTAAATTAACCAAACAGATGCGACCAGGTCAACGTTTTTAAAGTAGCACCACTCGAGAAAGTGTAGAGCAAATAAATCTAATCAAACACATGGAAAATAGAAGTCGCACACGATATCGTGCACGTTTTTGGTTACATATAGCGAACATGGCTGCGTAAATCTTTAGTCAACACATCAAATTCCAAAATTTTCTTTGTGTAATTACAAAAAAGCTAAGCATTATACAAACATTTAAGTCTACTACTGCTGCATTACTTCAATATCAAGCAAACTAAAAAAGGAAACATATTTTTATTATTTAAGATTTTAAATGTTTAAATCTAAAGAAAAAATTTACTAGAAAGAATAGTACGCGGGCCAGGCAGCAGACGGAAGTGAGAACACGCACCCTCCGGTATCCGAGCGGAAGCACTAAATCTTCATGTGTTTTCAATTACCCGTGTGCCCGTGCCCGTGCCTAAATCTGCATGCAGAGTATTGGTTTCATCTTATATTTAAACTTCTATTTTAACTTTTACATCAAAAAGCCCATATGAATTGGTCCATTTTACTCCATACCGAAATTCATCAAAATCAGTTTAGCAGTTTAGGCCTGAAGCTTAACAACCAAAATTACTTTCGTATTAATATGAGTAGGAAAGATGTAAGTAGGTAATTATTATAATTTACAAATCTCATTTATGTACTTTGGACGAAAACCTATGTAGCTAAACTTTTTCCCAAATGTCACTTTTACAGTAAACTGGATTGGTCTATGAGTTAAAAAACATATCGCTTGCTACATATCGTAACTGAATGTAGTTACGCACTACCAATACAGTCCCCGTAACATGAAAACGTCAATATACATTATATAACGTTTTTTATCGCGTCTAATTGTCAAACTCCATAGCGTGATAAAACGAGCTATAATTATCATATCGCTGTGCTCATGCTAGTGGGGCAGGAGTCTGCGACAAATATTATAACATAGTATACAACCGTTGCATAAGGAAAACTCTTTCGATTTTATACTGCTGTCACGCATTTCGTTTAAGTTTTTTATGGGTACTGTAAGAAAAAATAACTATAGTAAATACCTAAAATTTCATTGCAAGTGCTGCATTCCCCGTCATACATATTGTGGCAACACAAATACTGACATATTCTGCGAAAGTTTAACTAGCTACATACAGTACTGGTTCATAAGTTACGGCAACAATATTTTCTGTCACCTAAGTTTAGATTTATCACTAATTTGCAATACCCTAATAATAATATCTATATGCAAGAAATATTCGCGAATTCGATAATGGTTTGTGCTAGGGGTACTGTTCTTAAAGAAACTGTCACCAAATAAATGGTATAGTTCCATATATTAATGATAAAATGCCTATTAAGGGCAGAATCAATTTGGCGGGCCGTCAAAACTAACCAATCTAAACTGCTGTTTTGCCATAGTTTTGCCTAAAGAATATTCCTATTCGAGACGACAGATTTATTTTCTTCGTCTATCAGATTATCAAAAAGTATTGAACACGTATTTTTTATTTTTTTACATAATCAGAACTTAAGAACATAACAGTCGCATGACTACACGTTTTGATACAATTTTTACGGGACGTCACGAGCCCATACTCCCAATCTTTGACGCGTTTTATCTTTGTAATTTTTTAGTTGATTGACCAAAGAAAAAAATACGTGTCCATTATTTTTTGATTATGTAACTGACGAAGTAAATACAATTTCGTTTTCTTTACCCCGTCGTCATCCCTTTAGAGTGATCTGCTAGTTTTGGACTTGTTATATTTTATAGATAGTCATATAACATAGGAATCGCAAGGTTAGGTTATGTTAGTGTTACGACCAAAACGCGCGAGCCGAGCCAGCGTATAGTGAGCGTGCCTCGACAGCGGACGGAGAAGCGGCAGAAGCTCCCCCATTTCCCAGAACTTCCTGCATCGCATTAAGTCTTAGATTAAAACAAAAAGGGAAAAAAGCGGCACTCACGACTCAAAAGTGATCCGCTTAAATTGTAGTGCACAACCACAATTCGCTTTAGTCCCAATTGGACATTCAAACACGCTGCATGTACACTATAACAACATTGCGTATATTCTGTGTTATAAAGCCTTCGATGCTTGTATGAAGAACAGAAACATGTATTTCAAAATCAAATAATAAATGCCTCGGCTACATTTCTCATTCGTAAAACTGTAAAGTCATTTTTTTCTAATTCATAACATCACTACCTATTGCACACCTAGATCTAAAGAGAGTCAATTCTAGGGTATTTTGAAAATCTCGAGTTTTAATTAACCTATACTTAACCCAAGATCTAAAGGTATAGGCATTGATCTACCTGAGTAATGTTTAGTGTGAGTGGAGTCGAATCGGGGATGATTCAGCTGATTATTATACCTCTAAAGCAATGCTTACTTTGCCTACTCTGTCTTGTAGCTGTAGCTAGATGAAGCTAGCTCACCAATAGAAATACAAAAAGACCCTAAAAAGGTTGTGTTGTTTTACTGTAATTTTTTGTAAGGTAGTGCTTACTTCTATGTATAGCTAGTTTGATATTTCCTATTTATTTAAATATTATACACCGTGAATGTTGAGTTACCTGCGAAACTTTAGTAGGTAATTCTGACAACGATTTAGGTTATATTACTGCTTGATCTACCTGAGTTGCAATTTTCTTACTTTTATTATTTTTTCAAAAAGTGTCTCCACGTTAACTCAATTATTGTGCAAAATAGGAAACCTTAACAATTTTAATTGTCATTTTATTTAAGTATTACTTTTAGGATCTACGTACTTTAAACGGATAATAATTCCATAATAGGTAGATATGTTATTTACTTTGCGACGTTTAAGGATATTTTGTAAAATATACAAATCAATATTTTGGTATGGGGGTGTAGTGTATTTACTGTTTAGGTATAACTCTTCTGACTATTTTAAATTTACACAATTTTTATGTTTCTCTGGTAACTCAAAATTCACGGTGGTTATTGTGTCCATAACATCCACTTTTTTCTTGTCATTGAGAACAAAAGAAAAGATTTAAATGTATCAATAGTGCAGAACGTGAAAAAAGAAATTACCAAAATTACTTCTTCAACCAAATCAATAGAAAGTTAAATAAACAACACTCAAAAACCCGTCGCGTATCGACATTAATAACCATGGTAGATATGCTTGCAGATTCTATTACCCTAACCGATACTAATAAGAAGCAGGGAGGGGAGGTCTAAAATAGCGAGATGGCATGTTGCATATCTTATATTTATATATATGTCAATTTGTCATGAAACATCAAATAATGCTTATAAGAAATGAAATGTTTAATTTTACAGGTTTGTATGAGAATGCATAAAATGGCCATTTATAATTATGAAACATCATTATTATACATAAAAATGACGTTATTATGTGAAAAATATATAAGATGTAATATATGAAATGTTGTCATTTTAGACGCCCTGGTTTCTATTACGTGCATACGTATGAGGTTTTTGAAATATCGCAAATCATTGGACTTAAATAAATAGTTTGCTAGAAGAAGAATATTTACAGGTAGCGGCTTTATTATGATTTTTTCGTACGAAAGAAAATGAACTGTACCTACTAGCGAGAAAGTATTCACATCGTCATACCAAATTTTCTATGGAAAAAGCTAGTTTATTCTTACGTCCAGTACGATCTGGGCACTGCTTAGTTTCCCTGGAAACTTTGACGTTGGCGATACGATCAATGACCGACCGACGATCTGTCAATATTCGTGCTCAGGGTATCTACTAAAAAAATATATTTTAATCGTTTCCGCACAATTAATAAAAGAATACCTATACTATATATAGTACAGTTAGAAAAAAA